AAAATAATTGAAACTGAAATTAATAAACAAAACAAAAAATAAAATAAATTACTGAAAAAATAAATAAATTTCCCAAATATTCATAAATTATATCTAATTAATTATTATTCATGACAAAAAAAGAACATAAACATTCCTTTAAGTCCTTTCTACAATTGAGAAATGACAATTGTTGAGCTTTTCGTGCTTTCAATAAAATTTTAACAGAAAAGCAATAAAAGTCGTCATAAAGTTACACGGAAAATATATAATCTGTTTAAAAGTTGATATTGTATGCAGCTGATCCATCAAACTTTTATATCCAGCAATTCACGACGGAATCATAATTTCTATATCGAGTTGATAACTAACGCAGAAGCATTTTTTTTTTCTCAAACGTATATAAGTGCCTTTTTCCCATACACCTTTGTACATTCTATGAAGGAAAAACTCTCCACCTCCCCCCCCCTCCCCGATATTTCTTTATATCAAAAATTTTTCCAATTTTTATAGTTCATCTCGATATAAAATTTATTTTTATTATCAAAGAAAAATACGGGAATAGAATTTTTTTTTTTTTCTAAAATGGAATAAATTAATTTTATACAATATAAAGTTTAAATTAAAAAAAAAAAAAATTGTGGCGACAATAAAAAATGTAATTAAATTAAATTGTATTAAAATTGAAAATTTTAAATTGATAAAATAGAAATTAAAGTAATGAAAAATTAAATGAATTAAATGAAATTCAAAATTTAGTGAAATTATCTCGTTATAGTCGTTAATAAATAAATAAATTATTATTTAAATAATCTAATTTTTTATTTATTTTATTTTCACAAATATTTATGTAATTTTCGTTTTATGCCAAGTCTGTAAATTATCAACAAAAAAATAAATATTTCAGAAGAAATGCAACATTTAAATAGTTCAAAATTAATTAATAATTTATCGCTCTTCTATTTAAGTTAATAATCAGTGTTTAAAATTAAAAATAATAGTTTAAGTAAATTCTAGCTTGAAAAAAAATTTCAATAAATTCTATTTCGGAAAAATAATAGTCTCAATAAATTCTACTTCGAGAAGACATGAATAAATTGTAGTTTAAAAAAATTTTAGTTTCAGTAAATTCTATTTTAAGCAAATTTTAGTTTAGAAAAATGATAGTTTGAATCAATTTTAGTTTAAAAAAATAATAGTTTGATTAAATTCTAGTTTGAAAAAAAATTTGAATAAATTCAATTTAGGAAAAATTATAGTTTGAATAAATTCTAGTTTGACAAATTAATAGTTTCAAATGTCAAAATAAAAATAATTTCATTAAATTCTAGTTTGAACGAATAATAGTTCCAATAAATTCTATTTTGATAAAATAATAGTTTGAATATAAATGGTGGTTTGAAAAAATTATTGTTTGAGTAAATTCCGTTTTGAACAAATTTTAGTTTAGAAAATAGTTTGAATAACTCGTAATTTGAAAAAATAATAGTTTGAATAAATTGTGGTTTGAAAAAATAATAGTTTGAGGTAATTCTATTCTGAACAAATTTTAGTTTTGAAAAATAATAATTTGAATAAATTGTAGTTTAAAAAAATAATAGTTTTGAATAAATTGTGGTTTGAAAAAATAATAGTTTCAAAAAATTCTAGTTTGAATAAATTTTAGTTTACAAAAATAAAAGTTTGAATAAATTATAGTTTAAAAAAAATAATAGTTTGAATAAATTGTACTTCTGAAAAATTATAGTTTGAGTTAATTCTATTTTGAACAAATTTTAGTTTTGAAAAATAATAGTTTGAATAAATATAAACAGTTTTTTGAAAAAATTCTAATTTCAATAAATTCTATTTCGAAAAAACAATAGTTTGAGTAAATTCTTTGTCGAGAAAATAATAGTTTGAATAAATTTTTGTTTGAAAAAAAAAAATTTGAATAAATTGTAGTTTGAAAAAAAAAATTTGAATAAATTGTAGTTTGAAAAAATAGTAAGTTTGAATAAATTCTAGTTCGACAAATTAATAGTTTCAAATTTCGAGAAAAGACTAATTTCAATAAATTCTAGTTCGAAAAAATAGTAGTTTGAATAAATTGTGGTTTGAAAAAATTATAATTTGAGTAAATTCTAGTTTGAACAAATTTTAGTTTAGTAAAATAATAGTTTCAATAAATATAAATAGTTTCTTGAAAAAATTCTAATTTCAATAAATTCTATTTTGAAAAAAACAATAATTTGAGTAAATTCTATTTCCAAAAAATAATAGTTTCAATAAATTTTTGTTTAAAAAAAATACTTTTTATAAATTGTAGTTTAAAAGAATAGTAGTTTAAAAAAATTGTTGTTTGAATAAATTCTAGTTCGACAAATTAATAGTTTCAAATTTCGAAAAAAGACTAATTTCAATAAATTCTATTTCGAAAAAAACAATAATTTGAGTAAATTCTATTTCGAAAAAATAATAATATTGTTTGAGTAAATTCTATATTTCGAAAAAATAATAGTTACAAACAATTTTTGTTTGAAAAAATAATAATTTTGTAGTTTAAAAAAATAATTGTTTGAGTAAATTGTAGTTTGATCAAATAATAGGTTTAATAAATTCTATTTCAATAAAATAATAGTTTGCAAAAATAATAGTTTGAGTAAATTGTAGTTTGAAAAAATAATATAGTTTAAGTAAATTGTAGTTTTAAAAAATAATATAGTTTGAGTAAATTCTACTTTGAATAAATTTTAGTTTAAAAAAAAATAATAGTTTGAATAAACAATAGTTTGAAAAAAATAATAGTTTGAATAAATTCTAGACTTGACATATAATTACAATTGCGAATAATGCCATCTGCAATGAATAGAGAAATGATGAGCGACATTCATCTATCTCTATAATTAATAAAATATATCTTCATGTTCTTATTAAAATGTATTGTTGACTTTTCTTTATTCAGAGAAGTTCATTCTTCTTGCTTCGTCCTTTAAGTCATCAACCCAATTAAAGTACAACTGAATTATATGTAACTCGCTCGTATTTTTGTTTAAAGAATATATATATATACATATATATCTACTGGCTTTTGCGACAGTTTCTGCAAAACTTGAAGAAACCCTTGTTGGAATATTACGTTATTAATGTCAAGTGAAGGTTTTAAGCTTCTTTGTGCTTGTACAGTATGCACCTATTACCCTAAAGCTCACAGACCTCGAGCTTTATCCTTCAACTTTTTATAAAGTATAATATACAATAGCGAGAATCAACAATTTTTAAAAATATTTTACAACATTTTGAAAAATTTATTGCTAGAATTTGAGGAGATTAAATTTAATTTGTTAACACACTGAGGAGAATGAAGAAATTTTTTTACATCTTGAGGAAACAATAATTTTTGAATCAAACATAATTATCTTTATGCAGTCAAACAAAAATTATTTTTGAATTATAATAATTATTTTTGGATTCAAAAAAATTTTTTTTCAGTGTAAGAAAAATTTCGAAAAATTTTTAAAAAACTTGTAAAATGAAATTCAATTTAATGCGAAATTGAATTAAATTAAATAAATTTTAAAGGTATTTAAACATATTAATTATTATTTAAATTTTAAATATAGTAATATGTTGTAAAAAATTTATTATTTCAATAACTTTAAATTCTTTTTTTTTCATTTGCTATTAAAAAAAGGGAAAAAACCTGTTTGGGCTGATAAATTTTATCGCAGATAAAAATAATACATTTTTCGGTTAATTGCAATTTGACAGTAAATTACAGATAAAAAATGTTTAATTTTTCATTTTTAAGTAGAAAAGAATAATTTAATTTGGTTTTTTATTCGTATTCGTAGTAAAATAATATTTTTATTTAACAATTTTTTTTATGCAAATTTGTATAAAATTTGATATAAATTCCATACTTTATTTTTTATTTTTATTGTATTTTTCGATTTTTTTCTCCATTTTTTATTCTATCGTTTATTTCCATTTTATTTTATTTTATTAAATTCTATTGTTTATTTTATTCTTTTATTCCGTTTTTTCATTCTTATTTCATATTTTTTTACTTTGTTTTTTATTCTTATTTTCCCTTATTTCATATTCTTTATTTTATTTTCTTATTCTTATTTCATATTTTTTGTTTTATTTTCTTATTCTTATTTTATATTTTTTATTTTGCTTTTCATTCGTATTTTATATTTTCTATTCTCTTTTATCATTCTTATTTTCTATTATTTATTCCTTTGTTTATTTTTCATTTAGATTTTTTCAAAAATACAAAAAGAAAATTAAAAAAAAAATTTAAATAACTTTTCTTTATAATATTTATAACAAAAAATAATAATATTTAAGAGAAAATTAATTTCAATACAGTGTCGGTATCTTTTGGAATTTTTAAATAATATTTTATACGATAGCTAGTGTTGGCATGAAAGCTCACCTTGTTATCTGTGGGAATTTATCATCATTTTTGATAAGAATAATTTTCGTCTTACCAACAAACGGGTTTATTGATTTTTTTCTTTCTTAGTTTCAAATTTACACTTTGTTTTTATTGAGAACGTTATTTAAGAAGAATTTTCATTTATCGATAATTTAAAATTTTTAAGTAATTTTTTCTATATTTCAAATATAAAACTTATGGAATTTTATTTTTTTAATCGAACAAAAGAAAAGGAATTCATTTTATTTATTTTTATTTTACTTCGTCTATTTTACTTTCAATTTATTATTATCTCATTTTATTTAGTAACTTTTTTGTAACTAAATGAATAAATAAAGAAAATAAATAGCAAATAAAGTATAAAAAACGAACAATAAATTTAGAAGAAAAATTAGTAAATTAGTCTATTTACTATTTAAATATTAAATAAGATAAAAAAATTTCCATTGAATAATTTTTTTTTTAAATAAATAAATAAATAAATAGAAAATTGAAATAAAAATTAAATGTAGGAAAAATTTTTTACATAAAAATAGAATATATTTTGTATATATAGGTAAAGAAATTTAATAAAATATCTCGATTAAAATTACAATTTTATAAAAAAATATTTTTTTCCTTTTAATATTTAAAATTACATTTGTGCAGCATTGTAAAAAAATTAAAGAGTTTTTTTCTTAATTTTTATAATTATTGACAGAGTCGCCTGCCAAGGTGTCATAAGCTGTGGCATTGGAAATAAAAACCATTTCTTCTCTCGCCGATTGAATGTTTGTCAATTTAAGTTTTATGTGATCCAAAACTTTGCCAATACGATTTTTATCCATATCGAATATTTCACATTCATTTGTCGTTTCGCTCACAAAGTCAAATGTTGAAAATTTAATTCTGCTGGTTGATGACATCTGAAAAATAATTGTTAATTATTAAAATTAAAAACAAAAAATTTATATTTTTTTTGCCTTCGATGTAAGTAGTAAAATTTAAATTTTGAGTCAGACAAAATGTTTTTAAAAAATTTTTTCAGTTTATGATAATTAAGTAGAAACAGACGTTTATAGCAAGACTCGAAAAATAAAATTATCTTCAAAATTTTTTTGCAAGAATTAAATTAGGTGCATTTTACAAATAATGAAATTCTTCGCTGAAATTCAAAAATTTTCAAAATTTACATTTTTAATACAAGTTTTCAAAAGAATATAATTATTTAAATAAAATGCAATGAAATTCGTTGCATAAATTCAATTATTTTTACAAGTAATAAAATTTTTCACATGAATTCAATTATTTAAAAAAAATTGATAAAATTCGTTGTCAGAATTCCATTATTTTCATAAATTATAAAATTTTTCTGAGGATTTCATTTATGTATAATACAATTTAAAGTAAATTCCTAGAAAAATGGAATTATTCTCTTAAATTTTTTGTAAGAATTTAATTACATTTCACGAATATAATGAAATTCTTCGTTGAAATTCAAATATTTTTTACAATTTACTTTTTTAATAAAAGTTCTCAAAAGAATTCAATTATTTTCATAAATAATAAGATTCTTTACATTATTTCAATTATATTTAAAAAAAATTTTGAAAAAATTCATTGCAAGAATTCAATTACTTTTATAAATTAATAAAATTCTTCACAGGATTTCAATTATTTTTAATAAAATTTTAAATAAATTTTTCGAAAAATGTCACTATTTTCAAAAATTTTGTTAAAATTCTTCGAAAGAATTCAATTATGTATTTTATCAATTTATGTATTTTTAAAACTTCATGCTATAATGCTTTTAACTTTCAATTATTATCTAAAATTTTAACTAATATTAATTTTCAAATCAATTTTTATTGAAAAATTCTACAAGAATCCAATTATTTAAATACAAATAAAATGCAAATAAATAATTTATTGAATAAATGAATGCTTTTCGAAATCAAATTATCATAAAGAATTTTATCAACAAATTTGAATTTTTTCGAGAAATTTTAATAAAATTTTCAAGAATAATTAAATTTTTCGAGAAATTCAATTAAAATTGTATTAAAAATAATTGAAATTCTTGTGATGAATTTTATTATTCTTGAAAATAATTGAATTTTTGTAAAAAAAATGTTATTATTTATGAAAATAATTGAATTATTGCAAAGTTTGCTTAGAATTTTATCAAAAAATTTTTTTTTAAATAATTGAATTCTTTTGAAAAATTTTATTAAAACTGTAGATATTGAAAATCATTGAATTGAGAAAAATTTTTTGAAAATAATTGAAATTTTGCAAAGAATTTTATTAAAATTTTTGAAAATAATTGAAATTTGGAGAAGAATTTTATTATTTTTAAAGATAATTGAATTTTTATGAGAATTTTTTTTTTAATTTTTGAACATAATTGAATTTCTTCGAAGAATTTTATTACTTTTGAAAATAATATTGAATTTCTGCAATATAATAATCTTTAGCAATTTAGTAATCTTTAAGCAGTAAAAGACAATTTTAGAGTTAAAACAGAAGTTTTATAAAAAAAATTTTATTTTTAAGTAGTAGAATACATTATTAGTCAGACAACAAGTTTCAAATTTTTTTAGCATAAACCCAAATTTTTCCGGTACAATTAAACAAGTAAAGTCCGTTATAGTCAGAAAAAAATTTATTTTTCGTCGCAGAAGTAAAAGACAATTTTAGTCAGACAAATTTTATTAAAAATATTTGTTTCTATTAAGTAGTTCGGAAAATCAAATGTAAGGCAATTTTTTTTTAAGAATTAAAATTTTTTACAAATTCATGTTTATTTGAAGTAGTAAAAGACAATTTTAATCAAACAAATGTTTTTTTCCTGTTATTAAAATTTTCAGAAATTTATGTTTCCTTTAAGTAGTAAAAGTCAATTTTTAATCAGACAATTATTTATTTTTATTAACATTTTTAAATAATTTATGTATTTTAAGTAGTAAAGGTCAATTTCGATCAGACAAAACTTATCACAAAAATATTTGTTTCTATTAAGTAGTAAAAAAAAATCGAAAGCCAGACAAATTTTTATTAGTTATAATTCAAATTTTCAGTGATTTATATTTATTCTAAATTTTTAAGTAGTGAAAGAAAATTTTAGTCAGACAACAGGTTTTAAATTTAAATTAAAAAATAAATTATCAAACTAAAGTTAATGGAATTTATTTTTCCAAGGATATCAAATTGAGACAAAAAACAATTAAAACTGTTGCGAAGCAACATTTTTGATTTCGTTTTTTGTCTCAATTTGATATCCTCAGAAAACCAGTGTTAAAAAAGAAAATAAATTTAATTATTGAAAAAAAAAATTGAATTAAAAGTAAAAAAAACTCACAAGTTTGTTATAAACATCCTTGAGAACAATTCCCTTGATATATCTCGTGCCAAAGAAATATTCCTTATGTCTCGGACAATTCTGTATATTTCTTCTCTTTTCAATTTCAATTTCATCAAATGGACCAAATATAAATTTCGTTTGATCGAAAATAGGAATAATTTTCGGTCCCTTATTATTATTATTATTATTACTATTATTATTCACATCCTTCCTTCGACTTATTTTAAATTCCGTCTCACATTCGCCAACAGTGAAATTTTCCAATTTCTTAAATTGCTCATCATTACGTCTATCGTCAAGTACAAAACCAATACTCAATTGATTGGTGATAAAGCGAATCATGTCAATTATCCATTTTGATGCCTCATCATTTGCACTCTCTAAACTGTAACTCTCAATGCCTTCATTATTAAATTTCACTTGAAATAAATCGTGACCCAATCCATAGGGTGAATATGATTCATTTCTTGGTATTTCTATGCCCGATGTATTAAAACCATTTGGATGGGTGCGTATTATTTTTGTGTCCTCAGTTCGACATATTAATAAATTTGTATCATTTGGACGACATTTTAATTCGCCCGATACTCTTGTTCCCAATGTTGCGCCATTATCTGTATTCATTGCGGCAATCATATTTATTTCCATGTAAAATGTATATTCTGGTCCATATTTAATATTTTCATATGGCGACGGATTCCATGCTAAAAAACAATTTAATTTCACACTATTTATTATTTTTTATTTCCTAATTTACTGTTGAATTAGTTAATTATTAATTTATAATTCATTTTTAATTTTTATTTGATCTATGTTACTTAACTATTAACTACTAATTACTACTAATTTACTACTGGTTATCACTACTATTTTTATTTTATTTGGTTTTAATTTTTTTATTTGATTATTTTTATTTGATCTATTTTACGTAACTATTAACTACTAATTACTACTAATTCACTACTGGTTATCACTACTATTTTTATTTTATTTGGTTTTAATTTTTTTATTTGATTATTTTTATTTGATCTATTTTACGTAACTATTAACTACTAATTTCTACTAATTTACTACTGGTTATCACTACTATCTTTATTTTATTTGGTTTTAATTTTTTTATTTGATTATTTTTATTTGATCTATTTTACGTAACTATTAACTACTAATTACTACTAATTTACTACTGATTATCACTACTATTTTTATTTTATTTGGTTTTAATTTTTTATTTGATTATTTTTATTTGAACTATTTTACGTAACTATTAACTACTAATTACTACTAATTTACTACTGGTTATCACTACTATTCAAGTACTACTACCAGTTACTACTAATTTACTACGACTCCAAAATGAATAATTATTAATTAATAAAATAAAGAAAAATTATAATTAATTATAATTACAATAATTAATAAATAAAAGTTGTTAATAAATAATAGTAATTGTAATAACTAATTTAAAAAATTAGTACTTTAGTAGTTAGTAATTTTTCTTATATATGAATAACTTAATATTTAATAATTAAATAATTAGTAGTAATTTTAATTTCATTACTAAAACCACATTTTTTAAATTTATTTTTATTTATTTATAAAGATTTTACACATTTTTTTTTAATTATTACTTTCAATGTATTCTTAATTTTATTTCGCAATTTTTTTGCAAGCAAATAAATAAATAAGCTTTCTTGTTTGATGCAAAGAATTGAATTTTTGCAAAGATTTAAATATTATTGCAACTATTTTAAAAGAAATAATTCAATTGTTTTGATGGATTTATTAACATTTTAGAAAATAATTGATTTTTTTCGAAAAATATTATTAAAAATTAAAAGAAAAATTGAAATTTAATTAAAATTGTATTAAAAATAATTTAATTTTTGAATACAATTTTACTATTTAAAAATTAAATTAAATTGTTTCGAAGGATTTAGTAAAATTTTAAAAAATAATTGGATTTTTCCGTAAAATTTTATTAAAAATTTTTTTTTTAATTTTTTTTTAAAATTGAAGTCTTTTGTGAAATTGTTTTGAATATAATTGAATTTTTTTATAAGAATATTACTATTTATAAATAAAATAAAATTATTCGAAGGATTTATTAAAATTTTAGAAAAAAATTGAATTTTTTCGAGAAACGTTGTTAAAAATTTTTTTAAATTTGAATTCTTTCATGAAATGTTATTAAAATTGTATTAAAATTTAAAAATAATTGAATTATTGCAGAGAATTTACTATTCTTAAAAATAATTGAATTCTTACAAAGAATGTTATTATTCATGAAAATAATTGAATTCTTGTGAAAAATTTTTGAAATTAATAAACAAAATAAAATTAATTAGTAAATTAGTTAATAATTGAATTTTTTTAAAGTTTGAATCTGAAATTATTCAAAAATTCATATTTGAAAATAAAAAATTTTCTAATTTGCATTTAATAATAATAAAATGAACAACACGTTCCGCGCGCTGGAGCACGTAACATTTGCTAGTTAGTTAATAAATTTAAAAGAAATTAAGAATAGATAAATAATTTACGAAAAAAATAATGTAGTAAAAAAATTCGAAGAAAATATTGATAGTAAATAAAATAGAAGAAAGAAGTGATTTAGTATTTGATAAATATTTATTGTAATAATTTCCACACTTAAATTTTACATTTTTTAAATTAATTATTATTTATTTAGAAATTTATTTATCAAATTCAATTAGAAATCGTAATATTTTTTCACCAAAAATTTTTGTGTAAATTTACTAATAATTATATTTTAAGTATTTTTTTTTTCTTTTTTTTGGTAATTTTTATTAGTTTAATAGACTTTTCACTAATTTAGATTAAAAAATTTTTTTTTGACACTTTTTCATTATTTCAACATTTAAAATTCTTCATAAACATTCATTTCATTACTACGTGTTTCAATAATAAAATAATTAATAAATAAACAAAATTATTGCATTATAGTTATAACTTTAGTTTTTGAATTTCATTTTTTTTTTTTTATTTATTTCTTCATTATTTTAATCAAATTTTCATTTCTTAACACTTGGCACTTTGAGTATTTTAGTTTTCACTTTCAATGATTCAAATTCTTAATTTATTACAATTTTTAATTTTTTTATTGTTTATTTATTTATTAAAATAAGTTGAAATAGTCAACATTTGAAGAAAATTCAATTAAAAACTTTTTAATTCTAATTTTCCATTATTTATGTTATTTTCATTTTTAATTATTATTTAATTAGTATCAATTATTGTTAATTATTATTTCTTTTTTTATTTCATTATAAATTTACATTTTTTGTTTTATTTTTACTATTTTTACTCCTGACTTTGTATTTTTTGTTTTATTTCACATTACTCTTGAACTTTTTCTTATTTTATTTATTTTTTTGTATTATTCTGTTTTTTTTACTTTTTAAATAATTAACATTAAATATTTAATGTTAATTTTAATTTTTTTCGTAATGAACGAAAAGTAGAAAAGCAACAAAGTCTAACAGTAAAACTTTATCATTTAAAGAACAAAACTAAGAATTTCTAATTCAAAAAGAAAAAAAAACATTCTCGAAAGTTAATACTAAAAATTGAATTTTTCACAACACTTTCTGTATTTTTCTTTTCTTTTTTGTAAAATTATAAAAATACGAAATACATTTAAAAACACTAAAAATGAAAGTTTTTTTTTCATTTTTTTTACCGAATAAGAAAGGTAGGAACACAAAATGCATCTTGATAATAATCTTTCAACTAGCGAAATGTCCGGTTCGCTCTGAATTCTCCTTTTATAACATATGCCCCTAACGTCGTCAACCTTAGCGAATATATAGAGCGACTTAATAAAAGCTATTTTTCAATAGAAAACATCTAGCCATTAAGGCCCCACTTGAAACAATTCTATTATATATATGACTAAGAACAGAAATTTTATATATAATAATTTGTTCTTTCCGTATAAAGAAATTATACTCAATATAGAGAGAAAATTATTAATTTGTCAAAAAGAAATTTCCTTTCAAAACCCCAAAAAGAGGGAAAAAATCATTTTTTTTCTATTCTTTTATAATACTGATATTTATTTATTTACCCAAATCATTGTTTTCATTTCCTTTTTTTCTTATAATTTTGACATTTATTTATTTACCAAAAACCAGAAGGAAATTATTTTTTTAATACTTATTCAAATATTATTAAATACTTAATACTTAAATTATTAAATATTATTTACTTTTACTAAAGAAAAAAATTACTTTTTTTATTTTTTACACTCCTTTTTATTTACTACTAATACTAAAAAAAAATTATTATTAAAATTTTTTTACACTGCTATTTATTTATAGGAATCGAGAAAAATTCTAAATTTAATTTTGTAAATAAAGTTGAATAATTTTAACCGTAATTAAAAAATTCTGACTGTAAATAAATAATGTTAACCTTAATAAAAAATTCTAACTGTAAATAAATAATTTTACTTGTAAATAAAAAAAATTCTGACTCATCCAAGAAAATACATTTACTTGTAAATAAATAATAATAATTTCAGTATGTAAAATAAATAATTTTAGTTGTAAATAAAAAATTCGGGATGTAACTAAATAATTTTACCTGTGAATAAATAATTTCAGTGTAAAATAAATAATTTTAGTTGTAACTGAAAAATTCCAACTGTAAATAAATAATTTCAGTGGAAAATAAATAATTTCAGTTGAAAATAAATAAGTTCAGTTGTAAATAAAAAATTCTAGATGTAAATAAATAATTTTACTTGTGAATGAATAATTTTAGTTGTAAATAAAACATTCTGGCTGTAAATAAATAATTTTACTTTCAAATAATTAATTTCAGTAGTAAATAAATAAATTCAGTTCTAAATAAATAATTTCCATGATAAATAAATAATTTTAGTCGTAAATAAATAATTTTAATCGTAAATAAATAATTTTAACTAAATTTAAAAAATTTTTAATCATTTTTGTAATGATTTACAGCGATGACGACCGAATCTCCGGCAAGAATATCGACAGGTTTCTCCTTCATTATTGGAAGAAGTTCATCTCTCGCCGGCTGTATATTCTCCAAAGTAAGTTTCATATGATCCATTATCTTGCCCAAATGATTTCGCTCCAAGTCGAAAATTTCACATTCATTAATTGTCTCACTAGTGAAATTATTTTTACTCAGTACCATTTGACTCACTGACGATGTCTTTGAAACAAAAAAAAAACATAATTTAATTTTTTATACAAATTTAAATAATTGGTAATTTGTAAATTAAATTTTTTTTTGGAAATTAAAATTTACTTTTAAAATAAAAATTTATTTTTCAAATTCAAATTTTATTTTTGCAAACTTAAATATTTTTTATACTTAAAATTTTTTTTTATAAATTAACATTTTTTTTCAATTAATTTTTTTTAGAAATTAAAATTTTTTCTGGGAATTTAAATATTTTTGTTCTTAATTAAATTTTGTTTTCAATTTCAATGATTTTATTTGGATTTTGGAAATTAAAATATTTTTCGCAATTTTAAATATTTAAATTTTAAAAGAAAAAATGAAAAAAGGAAAAAGAGAGAAAATGATAACAAAAGAAGGGAAAATTAACTAGAAAAATAGAAAATAGAAAAAAAGCAATTAATAAAAAAATGGAAAAGGAACAAAATCTAGAAAACAAAGAATCAGAAAGAGAAATAAAAAAAAGGAAAAATAAAACACGAAAAATGAAATAATAAAAAAAATTAGAAAAAGGGAAAATAAAAAAAGAGAAAATAAAGAAAGAGAGAATAAAACAAAAAAGAAGAAAATAAAGAAAGAGAGAATGAAACAAAAAAGAGAATAAAACAAAAAGAGAGAAAGTTTAAAAAAAGAGAAAACAAAAAATAGAAAAAAATAAGAGTAAATTCAATTAGAAGACAAAATTTTTTTTCTTTCTTTAATTAAAAAAAAAAAATTCCTTTTTTTTAATTAAATAAAAAAAATACACTCACAAGATCATTATAAACATCCCGAAGAACAATTCCAAACGTATAACGTGTCCCAAAGAAATACTCCTTTCTCCTCTTGCAATTATGAACATTTCGCCTCTTTCCAATAATTAATTTTTCATCCTCAGAAAAATTAAATAATTTATCATTAAACACCGAGACAAGTTTATATTTCATTTTCCTTCGACTCTCATTCTCAGGCACTGGCCTACGACTAATTGAAAAATTTGTCTCACAATTGCCAATTGTAAAATTTTCCAATTTCGTAAATTCATTATTATAATGTTCCCTCTCTAAATCGACGCCAATACTCAATTGATTTGCCACTAATCTTATCATATCGGTGACAAAATCCGATGACGGACGTTTCGCATCTTCTAGAATATAATTTTCAATGCCATTGCGATTGAATTTTATTTGAAAATTATCGCGACCCATTCCAAACAATGAATAGGAATCATTTTTATAGATATCAATGCTCGATATATGAAATTCTTTGGGATGTATGCGAATTATTTTTGTCTCCTCAGTGCGGCATATTAAACTTGTTATGTCAGTTAAATGTGGACGACATTTTAATTTTCCGGCAACACGTGTGCCGAGGAGAGTGCCATTATCCTCATTCATTGACGCTATCATATTTAATTCCAATGCGAATTGATATTCTGGGCCGTATTTCCATGGACCACCCTTATTTGGAATTAGTGATGCTGAAGTGGGAGAAAATAAATTTTTCTTTTATTTTTCTTTTAGTAAAAAATTGTTATAATTTAGTAAAAAAAATTTTTTTTTTACAAAAAAAAGATTTTATTTAGCAAAAAATTATTATTATTTAATAAAAAGTGTTTTTTTAGTAAAGCAAACTTGAATTTAGCAAAAAACGACTTTATTTAGTAAAAAACTGTTATTATTCTAGTAAAAAATAATATTTTTAGCAAAAGAAGATTTTATTAACAAAAAATTATTATTAATAAGTAAAAAGTGTTTTTTTTTAGAAAAACAAATTTGAATTTATCCAAAAAAGATTTTATTTAGCAAAAGAATTATTATTATTAAGTAAAAATTGTTTTTTTTAGTAAAACAAATTGGAATTTATCCAAAAAAGATTTTATTTAGCAAAAAAATTATTATTATTTAGTAAAAAGTATTTTTATTAGTAAAACAAATTTGAATTTAGTAAAAAATATTTTTCTTGAAAAAAATTATTATTATTAAGTAAAAAGTGTTTTTTTTTAGTAAAACAAATTTGAAACTATCCAAAAAATATTTTACTTAGTAAGTAATTGTTATTATTTTAGTAAAAAATACTATTTTTGGCAAAAAAAAATGATTTTATTTAGCAAAAAAATTATTATTTTTTAGTAAAAAGTGTTTTTATCAGTAAAACAAATTTGAATTTATCCAAAAAAGATTTTATTTAGCAAAGAAATTATTATTATTTAGTAAAAAGTGTTTTTATTAGTAAAACAAATTTGAATTTATCCAAAAAAGATTTTATTTAGCAAAAGAATTATTATTATTAAGTAAAAAGTGTTTTTTTCAGTAAAACAAATTAGAATTTATCCAAAAAAGATTTTATTTAGCAAAAGAATTATTATTATTAAGTAAAAAGTGTTTTTTTTAGTAAAACAAATTGGAATTTATCCAAAAAAGATTTTATTTAGTAAGTAATTGTTATTATTCTAGTAAAAAATACTATTTTTGGCAAAAAAAAATGATTTTATTTAGCAAAAAAATTATTATTTTTTAGTAAAAAGTGTTTTTATCAGTAAAACAAATTTGAATTTATCCAAAAAAGATTTTATTTAGCAAAGAAATTATTATTATTTAGTAAAAAGTGTTTTTATTAGTAAAACAAATTTGAATTTATCCAAAAAAGATTTTATTTAGCAAAAGAATTATTATTATTAAGTAAAAAGTGTTTTTTTCAGTAAAACAAATTAGAATTTATCCAAAAAAGATTTTATTTAGCAAAAGAATTATTATTATTAAGTAAAAAGTGTTTTTTTTAGTAAAACAAATTGGAATTTATCCAAAAAAGATTTTATTTAGTAAGTAATTGTTATTATTCTAGTAAAAAATACTATTTTTGGCAAAAAAAATAATTTTATTTAGCAAAAAAATTATTATTATTTAGTAAAAACTAAAAAGTGTTTTTATTAGTAAAACTAATTTGAATTTATCCAAAAAAGATTTTATTTAGCAAAAAAATTATTATTATTTAGTAAAAAGTGTTTTTATTAGTAAAACAAATTTGAATTTATCCAAAAAAGATTTTATTTAGCAGAAAAATTATTATTATTTAGTAAGAAATATTTTTCTTGCAAAAAATTATTAGGTATTATTAAGTAAAAAGTGTTTTTTTTTTTAGTAAAACAAATTTGAATTTAATAAAAAATATTTTTCTTGCAAAAACAGATTTCATTTATACTAATGCAATGTTATTATTTAGCGAATCTGAATTAGTACCTAAAAAAATATTTTATTTAGTAGGAAAATGTTATTATTTAGTAAAAAAATTTTGTTTAGCAAAAAGAAAGGTTGTACTTCGAAAAAAAATTTAGTTTTTTTAGCAAAAAATATTGCGAATATAAACTTTTCGGTACCTTCGAGACCTTCGACATTATCTAGAAATACAACACTGTTTAAAATTAATTTTCATAAAACAAACTATGGTGAAAATTCTATTTACTTACTCTAAAATTTGCAGTGAAGCAAATACTTTTTGAAGTAACTTTGATTTCTTTAATTCATCGTTATATTTTCTTTCTTTTTACCTTCATTATTTAATAAAAAATATAACAAATTTAAATTTAGAAAAAAATACTTTATTTAGTAAAAAAAAAATTAGTATTATTTAGTAAAAACTATTATTTTTACAAAAAAATATATTATTTTGTAAAAAAATTGTATTTTGTAAAAAAAATGTTATTTAGTATAAAAAAAATTTTCTTTTTACAAAAAATTATTATTTAGTAAAAACTTGTTTCTTAGAGTAAAACAAATTTGAATTTAGCCAAAAGATACTTTATTTAGTAAAAAAAATTGTTATTATTTAATAAAAAAATATTTTTTCATTAAAAAAAGATTTTATTTATCAAAAAATTATAATTATTTAGTAAAAAGTGTTTTTTTTTAGTAAAACAAATTTGAATTTAATAAAAAAATATTTTATTTACTAAGAAAATGTTATTGTTGACTAAAAAAAGGTTTTATAAATAAAATTAAAAAAATTTAATCTTTAATTAACTAATGATTAAGAATAAATAATTAATATTTAATATCCATTCAACTTTTTTAAAAATTTTTGTTTCCCTTTATTTTTATTCGTATAACATTGTTGAAAATTATTTTACTATATTATTCATTTTGTTTCTTGTTTTTAAATACTAATTATTGTATAAAAAATTTACAATAATAATAACAATTAATAAATAAAATTTTATACAAAATTAATTTTTTGTGAAATAGTTTTTCCTTTTAGTAAGCAAAAAATTTATTGGTGAAATAATTTTTTGGTAGAATAATTTTTTTATATTTTGTAAAAAAAATTCTTTTGTTGAAATAATTTTTCTTTTTTTGTTGAAACAAAAGTTTTATGATGAAATAATTTCTTTTTGATGAAAAAAATAAATTTTTGGTGAAATAATTTTTTCTATTTTAATGAAGAATGAAATTTTGATGGAGAAATAAATAATTCTTTTTTTGGTGAAAAAAAATAAATTTTTGGTGAAATAATTTTTCCTTTTGGTAAGAAAAAAATTTATTGGTTAAATAATTTTTTTTCTTGGTGAGAAAAAAAAATGTTCAGTGTAATAATTTTTATAATTTTTGGTTTTTTTGAAAAAAAATAGTGTTTGGTAAAATAATTTTTCCATTTTTTAGGTGGAAGAAAAAATTTTTTTGTTGAAATAAATTTTCTTTTTGGTGAAAAAAAAGTTATATGAAATGAAATAACTTCTTTTTTTGATGAAGAAAATAATTTTTTGGTGAAATAATTGTTTCTATTTTTGATGAAGAATGAAATCTTATTGAAGAAATAAATTTTCTCTTTGGTGACAAAAAAAATTGTTGACAAAATAAATTTTTTCTTTTAGTGAGAAAAAAGATTTTCTTGATTAAATAATTTTTCTTTTCTGATATAATAATTTTGGTGAATATACTTTTGGTAGTTTTGGTGTAAAAGAAAAATTTTTTTGTGAAATAATTTTTCTTTTTGGTGAAAAAAAAATTTTGCATGAAATAATTTTTTCTTTTTGGTGAGAAAAAAAATTTGTATCCTACCGAGAACAAATGGTAGTAGTGTGAAGTTCATCTTGATGTCACAATCTTTCAACTAACGAAATGTCCGTTTCGTATTCTGAATCCTTCTTTTATAACTGCGAGATTAATCTCAGTGGTCGACCTTTACTACGTTTAGAACAATTTAATAAACGCTATTTTACAATATAGAACTTGATCAATTTATTATTGTCGCGACTTGAACACTACCGTACACTACTGACAAAAATGACTAATATCGAGTCTAATCTTAGGGATTTTTCGTTTATTTATAGTCTCAAGGCTAAAAAAATATTTTAAAAAAACAATTTTTTTCACTCTGAAAATTTTTTTTTATCATTTTATATGTTTAGTGATTTTTTCTATTATTTAATCATTTCGTTAGTTATTTTAATTATAAGTCATAATACCTAATTATAAAGTTAATTCGGAAAAATATTTTCAAATACGATTCAACTTTGGAAAATTCAATAAATTATTTTATTTTATTCCAAATTTTGTTAACTGTTTATTTATTTATTTAATTTATTATATTTATCACTATAATGTTCTTTAAAATTACTAAACATTATTGCAGGAAAAAACTTTATAATTTTTTTAACTAGAATCATTTTTTGTTAAATCACTACAATTTATACAAAATTTAATAAAATTTCTATATTATTTTTTTAAATTTCTATTTTGTTTAAAAAAAATTTATATTATTTTTTAAAATTTTTATTTTGTTACAAAAAATTTTATTTTTCTTAACATAATTAAAAATTTTACAGAGAAGAAAAAATTGTTTCTATAAAATTAACTTTTATTTATTAAATTTATTATTTAAATTATTATTAAAATTATTTAAATTTTAAATTTAAATAAATTGTTTAAATTTTAAATTTAAAGAAATTGTTTAAATTTTAAATTTAAAGAAATTATTTAAATTATAATATTGTAAATAAATAAATAAATTTATATTTTTGTTTTTTAATTTTTCGTTTATGGTTTAGAGAAAATTTTAATTATAAATTTTCTTTCTTTCATTCAAATTGTAGATGGAAATAATCGGCTAATGAAATAAAAATTTTTTTCCTTCCTAACCATTATAATTATTATCATATAGGCAGATTTTCTTTAATGGACAAATGCATCTTGCAATTAACTAATCAGTCGTGTAATTTAATAATCAACCACGATGAGTGGACTAATTTTCAAATCTTATAAGTAGTCATTGCGTCGCGACTGAATTGATGCGCATATAAATCTCCACCGAAATTCAGTGGTACGTGCTTGCGAATTATATCACTTTTTCGCGGGATATTTGAATTTTCAGGGCTTTAAAATTTCATGCCTCGAACGAGGAGAATAAAAAAAAACACAGTTTCTGTCAAAAAAAAATTTATTTTTTCGTAAAAACAAAGTTTGTTATTTGGTAAAAAAAAATGAAATAGAATAATAATCATAATTATTAATAATTATTATTAATCATCACAAAAAAATGGTTTATTTTACAATGCAATGTTATATTTTAAGAAAAATTGTTTCTTTTACTAAAGCATATTTGAAGTGAGTAAAAAAATATTTTATTTAGTAATAAAATGTTAGTATTTAGTAAAAAAAAAAAGGTTTATTTTAGTAAAACAAATTTGAAATTATTAAAAAAAATATTTTATTTAGTAAGAAACTGTTTATTATTTAGTAAAAAAAAAATATTTGTTTAGCAAAAGAAAATTGTACTTCGTAAAAATATAGTTTTTTTAGCAAAAGAAGAATTTAGTGGAAAATTGTAATTATTTAATAAACAATATTTTTATTAGCAAAAAATTATTATTTAGTAAAAAGTGTTTTTTGATGAAAAACAAATTTGAATTTAACAAAAAAAGACTTTATTTAGTAGGAAATTTTTATTATTTAGCAAAAAATATTATTTTTATCAAAAAAAAAAGATTTTATTTAGCAAAAAATTATTATTATTTAGTAAAAAATGTTTTTGTTTGTAAAGCAAATTTTAATTTTGTAAAAAAATATTTTATTTAGTAATAAGATGTAATTAATAATAAAAAATTTTTTTTTAACAAAACAAAAATTTCTTTTCTTAATAAAAAGTTAGTATTTAGTAAAAAAAAAACGTTTCTTTTAGTAAAACAAATTTGAATTTAGTAAAAAAAATATTTTATTCAGTAAGAAACTGTTATTATTTAGTAAAAAAAATTGTACTTCGTAAAAATAAAGTTTTTTTTTTAAAACGAAGAATTCATTTAGTTGAAAGTTATTATTATTTAATAAACAATATTTTTATTAGCAAAAAATTATTACTGAGTAAAAAGTGTTACTTCCAGCAAAACAAATTTCAATTAACAATAAAAGACTTTATTTAGTAGGAAATTATTATTATTTAGTAAAAAATACAATTTTTAGCAAAAAAATGATTTTTTTCAACAATATAATTATTATTATTTAGTAAAAAAGTGTTTTTATTAGTAAAACAAATTTTAATATAGCAAAAAAATATTTAAATTTAGGAAAAAAATATTTTTTTTATGAAAAAAAAGAATTTATTTAGTTAAAAATACTTTTTTTTTTGCAAAGAAATAGTTTTTTAACCAAAAAAATGTTATTTTTAAGTAAAAAGTGTAACTTTTAGTAAAAAAAAATTGAATTTAGCAAAAAAAAGACCTTATTTAGTAAGAAATTGTTACTATTTAATAAAAAATACTATTTTTTGCAAATAAATATTTTATTTATTGATAAAATGTGTGTATTTAGCAAAAAGTGTTTCTTTTACTAAAACAAATTTGAAATTAGTAACAAATACTTTTTTTTGCAAAAAAATAGTTTTTTTGTTAAGAAAAATATTATTTTTAAGTAAAAATTTTTTTTTTTAGTAAAAAAATTGAATTTAGCGAAAAAAAGTCTTTATTTAGTAAGAAATTGTTACTATTTAGTAAAAAAAAATACTATTTTTAGCAAATAAATATTTTATTTATTGATAAAATATTAGTATTTGGCAAAAAGTGTTTTTTTACTAAGACAAATTTGAAATTAGTAATAAAATATATTATTGAGTAAGAAATAGCTTTTTCTTAGTATAAAATTATTTTATTTAGTAAAAGTTATTTTTATTTATTAAAAATAATTTCTATTTACTTAAATAAAAATTGGCATTTTGTAAAAAAAAATTTTGTTTAATTAAAAAAGAAGGTTTTCATTAAAAAAAATTTTTTTTATTTCTTTAAACAAAAATTTTGTTTGATTTATTCATTGCAATCATTCATTTATAAAGAACAAATTTTTATTTACTAAAACGAAATTTTTACTTTTTAAACCGAAAATGTTTATTTTGTAAAAAAAAGTAGTTTTTATTTAGTTCCTGTATTGTAAAAAAAAAAAAAAAAAAAAAAAAAAAAAAAAAAAAAAAAAAAAAGCGTAATGAAAAATTCATATTTACCAATAAAAAAAAGAGAAAAACAATCAATCGTAGAAAATGGAGACAAATTTCCATCTATTGCAAATTTATGAATTCAAATATCAAAAAACCGGAAGTATATAAAAAAAATCATTTCCAAAATAACTCAATAAACTAAATTATTAAAAGAATATTCTCTTTATTATTTGTTTAAAAAAAAAACAGTTAAAAAAAACTAAAAAAAAATTTTTTCTATTTATCAATAAAAAAAATAGAAGAAAAAAGATCTTTATAAAAATAGTTCCCCCCCAAAAGAAAATAGAGAAAAAAAAAAAAGATTCTATATTCTTTATAGAGAGAAAAGATGAGATTACGGCCCTGGATGGTGTGAAGGTACCTTTAGCAGGAGAAAAGTGGGCGGTTTTGGGGGGTGGTTTATATCGACCAGGACACGGACCTCGCAAAAGCTTCTTCCTCCTCTCTCTCTCAGTATTCACAAGACCAGCACCCCTATAAAAAGATACGCTCTCGATCTCGTTATTCGCGTCTCTTTTCCATTGAAAAATCTCGCTCAGTATACCTATAACTTATAAATATCATCCACAAAATTATATTCAATGTACCAATTGAAAGACAAATATTACATTTTGTGAGTGAAAAAAAGAACGAAGGCAAAAAAGGGAAGTTTGCTGTTTGTTTTTATTTCTTTTTTTGGAAGGAAAAATTCATTATAAAACACGTCCGATAGCATCCGTTAATGTAAGTAAATAGATTTTCTTTCGTTGATGTAAATACGCAGAAAAAATGTAAACAATTTCCAAATACAAATAATTTTAATATATTTCACTAAATAGTGTAATTTTGTTATTTTACGTTTGTTTACAAATTTAGCAAATTTTTAGAGTAGTTTTCCTTTTGGTACGAAAGAGAGTGCGAATAATTTTTTTAGATGTAAATTCAAGTCATCGAGAGACGCCATAGAAATTGCTATACCTATATTAATAAAATTTACTAGTTCTAAAGCAAAAAAATAACAAATACTCACTTTTTTGCTATTAATTTAGTAAATTTTACTACTAATTTAGTAGAAATTAGAAATTACTCTTTTTTTTTTAAGTTAAAAATACTAATGTTTGGTGGAAAATTTTCTTTTTTTAGTAAAAACTACTAATTTTTAGTAGAAGAAACTAATTTTTATTAAAATTATTATTTTTATTAAAACCAAAATTCTTATTTAGAAAGTTACTACTTTTTAGTACAATACTACAAATTTTTATTAGGAAGCTGCTAATAGAAGAAATTATGATTTATTTGTAAAATTTTTTAATTTAAAAACAAAACCAAAAATAAACGAATATTCACTATTTTATTTATAATTTAGTAAATTTTACTAATAAATTAATATAAATTACTATTTTCCAGGAAAATTTAAAAATTCAAAGGCCAAAAGTTAGTCACTAATTGAAATTAGTAAATATTTTAAATTATAGGTACTAATTCAAATTTAGAGAGAATAAGAATGTTTTTACAATTTTATTTATTAATTTACATTTTTTTCCTACTAAAATTTTGAATTACAAAATTACTAATAAAAAATTTTATTTTAATCTAAATTTATTCGTTTTCTAGTAATAAGTATGAGTTTCATTACCGTTTGAACTATTAAATTTTTTTAGAAAATAATAATTCTTGTCAAAAACTAGGTACTAATTTTTTGTAAATACTATTAATTTTTAGCATAAATTATTTTTATAAAAAATTTTTAAAAAATAAAAAGAAATTTAATGAAATTATTTTTGATAAAAATTACTAATTTTTGGTAGATATTAATTAAGTTTCAGTAGAAAATACTAATTTTTTAGTGGAAAATATTGTATTTTAGTAGAAAATAATACATTTTTTAAAAACTACTTATTTTTAGTATAGAAATTACTAATAAAAAGTAGAAAATACAAGTTAGTAGTTGAAAAAACCTTAATTTTAGTAAAAAAACAAATAATTTTGAGTAGAAAATTACTACTTTTTTGTACAAAACCACAAATTTTTAGTAGAGAATATTGTGTTTTAGTAGAAAATAATAAATTTTTTTTAAAAACTACTCATTTTTAGTAGAAAATACTATTTTTAAGTAGGAAATATTGTGTTTTAGTAGAAAATACTAATTAGTAGTAGAAAAAACTATTTTTAAGTAGGAAATATTGTGTTTTAGTAGAAAATACTAATTAGTAGTAGAAAAAACTAATTTTTAATAAAAAAAAAAATAATTTTGAGTAGGAAGCTACTAATCTTTAGTAAACTTATTGTATTTTAGTAGAAAATATTAATTTTTAGTAGAAGAAATTTTTTTTTACTAACAAACAACTATTTTTTAGTAGAAAAATACTAATATTTACTAAACAACTACAAATTTTTATTAGAGTATATTGTGTTTTAGTAGAAAATATTCTGTTTTAGTAAAAAACACTAATTTTTAGTAGAAAATATTCTGTTTTAGTAGAAAATACTAATTTTTAGTAGAAAATATTCTGTTTTAGTAGAAAATACTAATTTTTTAGTAGAAAATATTCTGTTTTAGCAGAAAATACTAATTTTTAGTAGAAAATATTCTGTTTTAGCAGAAAATACTAATTTTTAGTAGAAAATATTCTGTTTTAGCAGAAAATACTAATTTTTAGTAGAAAATATTCTGTTTTAGTAGAAAATACTAATTTTTAGTAGAAAATATTCTGTTTTAGCAGAAAATACTAATTTTTAGTAGAAAATATTCTGTTTTAGCAGAAAATACTAATTTTTAGTAGAAAATATTCTGTTTTAGCAGAAAATATCTACTAATTTTTAGTATTTTCTAATATGTTTAATACTAAAATTTTTAATAACTAATGTTTTGTAAAAAAAACTACTAATTTTGAGAAGAGAGCTACTAATTTTTTTCAGAATACATACTGCAAATTTTATAGTGGAAAATTACTAATTTTATAGTAAAATCCCAAATAATAAAAAAGAAACTACAAATATTTATTAATTGAAATAGAAATCTTTTACTATTTTTATCACTGTGGTTAAATTATAAAATTATTAAATCAATTAATATATAAAATAATAAATAAAATTGAATTATTATCTACTACTAATTCTAATATTTTATAATTTTACTAGTATAATTATTACATTACTATATAATTATTATAAATTTATAATAAATAATAATATATAAAATAATATCAAAAATTTAATTATTATCTACTATACTAATTTTACTATTCTAATTATTATTATCTACAATTAATTTTAACGAAATATGATAACCATTTATGATAAAAATTTATTGACTTTCAATTAATATGCACAATTAATAACACAGTTAAATTACTAATAAATTTCTGCTAATTCTATTATTTTTCTTTTTTTTTCTACTATTTGACATTTCATCAGCAAATAAGAAATTATTTTTGCAAAATGACATTTGCGAAATAATTGAATTATTAAGTAGCGGGTAATAATAATAATAATCAAAGAAAATAATAAAAAAAAAACAAATTTGAAAACTAAATTTTTAAATTAAAACTGTAAAAATTCCGCAAAATTTAAAAAATTATATTAAAAAGAAATGAAAAAATTAATAAAAATAATAAAAAATATTAATAATTAATAATAATGTGAAAATAACGATTTATTTGTGAATCGAATTGAGTGTAATGAATCCGCGATCCTTGAATTTCCCCCCACCCCTTTCCCCTATTTTCTTTGATGTATTTTCTTCAACTGAGTCAACGAACGAATGACCCAGTTGAGTAGAAATGTGTATTAACCTGCGTTTTACGGGTTTATATGGGATTTCACAAACATCATTGCGGTCTTTATCGATTATGTTGTTTTCGCTCTGAGATATATGCTACTGGCAAAAAAAAATAATAATTTTCGCAATTTTAAATTATAATAAATATAAAATATTTTTAATTAAATTATTTAATTCCACAAATATAATATAGTGGAAAACAGAAAAAAATAATAATAACAAATTATTATTATTAAAATAATTTAATTATTATTATAATAATAACAAATTATTTTATGTTAATTATTTATGAATTAAAATAAAAAAAATTTTTATTCTCAATTATTGTAAAATAGTAATTTAAATTATTTGTTAATTAATAAAAAAAAACAATAATTGGTAAATTATTAGAGAAAATTGTAATTTAATCATTAATAATAAATTATTATAAAAATTGTTTTAAAATTTTTGAATTAAATTTTAATTAAAATTTGATCATTAGTTAATTAACACAAAAATGATAATTTAATTCCTTAATTATTATTAAACAAAATAATTTAATTATTATTTCCTTATTAGAAAAAATATAATTTATTCACTAAATTAATTAATCAGTAATTTAATCAGTAACTAATTATTAAAAAAATGATAATTTATTTTCTAACTAAAATTTTATTAGAAAACAATTTAATTATTATTTAGTCAGTAGAAAAAATAGTTTAGTTACTATTTAAATGGTTCAAAGCCGAATGAAATGAACAATATGCTAATTAACAAACTTTTATTATTAATTTACTTATTAAAAAAAAATTGATTGTTAAAAAAATAATTGTAACTTTTACTGAAATATTATTAAATGTAATATTTTTATTATTATAACAATATAATAATTATAATTGAATGATTTTTTCCTCACATAAATAATTATAATTATTTAATTATCAAAAAAAATAATATTATTTAATTATTAAAATAATAATGTAACTTTCTAATTATTACAAATATAATTTATTGTCTAATTAAAAAACAATAATTATTTTATGATTAAACAAAAATTCAATTTTTCTCAACAATTTTATTTAGTAGAAAAAAAAACAAAAGGAAAGCAAAATAGAAAAAGAAAATCGGGGGCAAAAGTTAAAATTGTCAGAAAAAACTTTTTTTCTTACTGAAAATATTTTTCCTGTTTTTCTTATGTGAAGAGTTTAAAAATGGAAAGTAGGTAAAAATATAATGAGTGTGAAAATTGTTTTGTGAATGTGTGTGAAGTGTGCGATGTGGAAGGGTCAACTTGAGGGGAATCTGCAAATGGTTGCGCCGGCCACTGACCTCGTTGCACTGCTGTTACCGAATCCGTTTTGCAGATATAGTTTTGGCCCTGGAATCCGGCCAGGCGAAGTAGAAATGAATTTAGTGCATTAATGCACAGTGTCAATGCACGACAATTCACATAACATATATATATGTTTATAATATGGATGGCCAGTGACCGACTGCTAAATCCGTATATATTATTTATCATTAAATTACTCCCCACGCTAAATTTAATTTCTAATCAATATTAATCACTTCTATAAACGACTATTTTTATTTATTTATTTTTTTACTTTTTTTTTATTTACAGTAACGGTTTTTTTATTTTACTATTTTTATTTATTCTTTTTATTTATTTCTATGTACAGTATTTTTTTTATTTTACTTTATTTTTTTATATAGTATTTTTTTATTTTACTTTAATTTTTTCTACAGAATTTTTTATTTTACTTTATTTTTTTCTATAGTATTTTTTTATTTTACTTTATTTTTTTCTACAGAATTTTTTTAATTTACTTTATTTATTCTTATCTACAGTATTTTTTTTCTATTTTTTTTACAGTATTTTTTCTTTTTATTTATTTTCTTATTTACAGTAACGGTTTTTTTTATTTTACTTTATTTATTCTTATCTACAGTATTTTTTATTTTATTTATTTTTATCAACAGT